GAACCCCTCTGTGGTTCGAAACTAGTAGAGCTTTTCTCAGTATATTCACGTGAGTAACCCGCGTTTTTACTTAATAATGATTCCTATTGACTTTCTTGCTTTTATTTCATTTGAATTAATTACTATAAACTGCCTTAAGTTTACTCAAATAATTGAAGTTTGTAGTCGTACAAATGATGTAAGCGCTTGGACTACGATATCGTGTTTACAAAAACAAAGTTCGCTACAAGAATTCTACAAATGAAATGTTACCTACGTCTAAAATCTATGAAATGCTCTCCAATTAATTTTGTACGATTACAAGCATCACTATTTATTTATTTATTTATTTTCAGCCATGATCGTCCCACTGCAGGGCAAAGCATCACTATAGGTATTTTAATACAAGATTTATATTTAAATTCAAAACAAAAACTCATCTATATACCTTATGTTTTGTCGATTATCTCATGTATGTATCACTGACGTATTAAGATGCTGTACCTAAAACCTAACCAACACTTGATATCAAATAACCATTTGATAAGGGCTTTCAAATTTTATCACCATATTCAAAAAATCCTAATTTTAATAAACCTTTCTAGAGCCGACAAAAGCTGAATGTCCTTCAAATCTTTTCCTCATATTTGTGGAATGAAGTAGAAAATTTAATAATGAGAATTCTGACATAGTACCTAACTCATTTCTGTTGTAGTCATTGATGACTCTTTCAGTCCCGGTCATTAAAGGAAAAGCAAACCTATTACGTTATAATCTTTGACGTCATATTTGCCCTACATCAAGTCTTAATGCCTTAACATAAAGCTTAAAGTAACTTGTATTCATTCATCAAATATGTGGCTAAGAATTTTGAATTTAAATATAAATCAAGCTCAAGTATTTTTTTATACACCGCTCTCACTTACGCCTATTCCTAAAGTATTGTTCTGTTATCATTATTTGAAATTACTCTTAACCTTTTATATTTTGTGTAAAATCCACTTTTATACGTAGTGTTATATAGTTATTTCTAAGCCTTTGTAGGTGTAAATTGAATGTAAATAAACTTTCTTATTATGTACACATCAATTGTCGTTTCATTACGTTTGATAGACATAATAAATAATTCCTTATCTACTTATACACCATGATGTCTATATCGCTTTCGGTCCGCGGCAAAACAACTTGCCTAAGGAGTACTCTCCATGTAGGAGTAAAAACAAAAAAATCTCTTCGAGAATTACATGACGTGATGTTTTGATAATGTATTATGAGTTCGTATGCGCTTTCCAAGATTGCTTTCTGTAATGATTCACCTGTTATTTGTTGTTTTAAACATTTTATTTCTTTGTAAAACTATTTTATTACCAAGACAGCACCATTTTACTTCGGGACGAAAACGAAATATATTTTACGGTGTATAATACCTTCTATGTACCTACTTTATGGAAATCTATTCGTTTGACTAAAATTACGCTACATTACCTAAATATAACGGTAAAGTAGACCTTTGGATCGAAACCGGGCCTTATGCTAGTTTTAGGTAGGTACTGGAATATTGTACAGGCATATCAAGATCCCCTACACTTAATATACTCTTTGATATCAAGTCAACTCGAAACGTCAAATAATAAAAAGCAAACATCATCGTGCGTTGCCAATTACATCATTTTTAGTGAGTCGATAAGTACCGCATATGTGATACTTGCGACTTCGAGTATGTAGGTACACAACCACTTAGTGACAAATGCGAATTTAATGCTCAGTTGTCGAGTGCTCAACTAATTGAGACGAACATTAGGCAAATGCTTATATCGGTACATACATTACAAAGCCATCGTTAATACTAAATAATAATAAATATATATTTTTTATTTGGTAAACTAAGCTTGAAAAATGAAACAACAAATGCCAACAACAATAATTTATTTTCCCACACACTAGTACATACATCATAAAAGAACTTGAAGCTAGCATAATATGAAGGAGAAATGAATTATAATAACAGGTACAAATAAATACATTTAATCGTAGCCTAACTGTAGGTATAGGTTTAGAAACCAGGTACATACACATACATATATTAATTATTAAGTCATTTACCATAATACTTATTAAGAAATACTATTAAATTCTAAATCAATGATAAAATGAAGAAGCTAGTTACCTATTTCATTATTAAAATACTGATTAAATATAATGCCTGTTTCCTATATTAAACTAGATTTCAGATCGCTTTGTTTGTACTTGAAATAAAATAATTCGAAAACCGATTCCAAAAATTCTAACACCTATCGAAATTATCTGTGTGATTCGAAGTCACAACTGCGTCATGGGCCATGGGCAAAATAGCGCTGCATTTAGAAAAAATACACTGGTAGATTAAATACTAATTGGGTGGAGTAATGAAGCTGTCATAATAAGTACCAAGCATCCATACAATATGCATGCTGCGAAATAACAACAGTCACGAGTCACGTCTATTGTTTGTTTAAAAAATTAATATCGTAAATGGACAAATGAGTTTCGCTTGTCTTTTCTACTATGTTCTAGGGTAGGGCGAGTCCCCATCCCACTGTTTACGCCCATGCTATCAGGTGTTGTCCCCTCGCTTTGTAACCATTACAGATAAGATTACTAATTTGGAATGACTACGAAAACACTTTCAAAGAATTTTAAATTAGTGGTGTCCGGTATACATTTCAACGGAATAAAGATAGGACAGGATAAGACTATAGACAGGAAGTTTTTGCGAAGCGTAGTGCTTCATAAAGGTAGAGACAACACGTTACTAAAAATAAAGCACCTCACATTAAAAATTCTGATACAATAAGTACGTATATGAACATTGCCCCATCACTAATTTTCCTCAGGTGATAGACTCCAGTATCATAAAGACACGAGACGAATCTTGCACATGATTGTGAACTAAGAAGATGTCTTGTATATTCTGAGACATTATCATCAAAAAGTCGTTAACCACCACAATCAGATACACATACACCTAAGCTTCGTAACGTTATTTAGTAACTCGTCTTGGCTAACATTTACCGGTTTCAAGTGAACTCAACCGCTTACACCATCCTTTTTTGTTTAATCCAAGTTAATGACCTTCGTTTTGGCTATGTAAATATTTTATCTAGGTATTTATCAATTTGTGTGATTTCGCAATATAGAGATAAAATATACAACTTGTATAAATACTTCACATGTACTTATTTCAATTCATAGGAATGATTACAAAGCATATCATGCCCGTACTGCCCGCGTTGAGAGAATAAGCACCTGTTTTCTATTATATACGAAATGAACACAATGTAGTACGAATTGTAACAGGCTAGGCACCGATCGATATAGAATAGGAAGCTGACTATCGCGGATGAAATGGTTGACCATTGAAACGTAAAAAGTAGAACAGCGGTTAATACTAGATTACATAACACCGAACTGACCTCATACGGATAAAAATAAACGGTTAAACCCTTTGATCTTAAACCGTTTATATTTAAATCAGTTTATATTAGGAAGGGGTATTGATATTCGTCTTGGCACAGACCTACCTATTTAGGGATGATTGGAAGATTATAAGTTATAAGTATACATTTTCAGTCACCGACCTAGCTAATTAAGGTGTCTAGGGTGGAATAATTGACCTTCAGAGATCCACGTTAGTTAATTAATAAGATCGTTAGAAGTAATCGTGTTAATTAGTTTAAGTAGTGTTAGTAATAGACTGCTATCAGTTTGAATTGTATCTTGTTTGTGTAGTGTTAGGAATGAAGATTGATAGGAAATGTCTGCACATTGTATCGTATCGGCGATAGGTACATCGCCTATTTGCTTTAGCTGTCTACCTATTTGCGCAACACGTAACTGCTTTCGGATACAAACATCAAATAGATCATATTCTCCCGCGTTAGCACTGATGCCAGGGCTTCAGGTTTATACGAAACGGATAATTTTAGATAGGTAGAGGATGGACGACCTCGCGTGAAGCCGTATAAGTGGCTATACATGCTTATCTACCTATAGTCTGCACTTATATCCATCACCGTCTTTAGCACTACAAACCGATTCATTTACAGCTCTATTATAGAACAAATCTTTGCACGTGGGACTTTGGAATTTATATGTCTTATCTACAAATTCAAATACTTATTGTAATACAGCGTACATAATTTATAGATGCAATTAGCTAATTACGAATTATAATAACGATAAGCCATAAAATACAATACAGGACTATAAAAAGCGAAACGTAATTTCTTCTTGTTATGCTCACATACAATTTCTGTTTCTCCAATAATGCAATAAGTACTTATGTATGTCGCTAACAGACAGAACATTTTTTAATTTATATACCGATACATAATGTATTTGTACGAATAAACAACTGTAATACGATAAAATAAGTTTTTATATACAGAGTTAAGAAAATATATTGGTTAACTTTCGAATAAACCTATATTAATGTGAACATTAGACAATATTTTAAACGTTTAGTTACATAATTATTCAATTCATTATTATAATATTTAATAAATAAAATTTATAACAATAGAAATATCTCTGAAATAGGAATGTACAATAATAAAGACTATACAATTTACTTTATAATACGTAATAATATTTTTATTTATTTAAGTATGTTCATCAGAACTCAAATTGTGAACTAGAAAAATAAATTTATCTGGATTAGGTACTTATAATTTATAATATCAACGATATAATTATGAATATTATATAATTTTAATTTTAAATTGAATTTAGATATTGCCAACGCAGTTATTTAATAATTTTCAACCTTAGAATATAGGTACTAAGTAATATTTTTAAAACACACTCTTTGTGACACTTAATTCATTTCAGATACTCAATAATCATAACAATTATTTAATTGATCGGCCTAATAGTGGCAACGATAAAAATACTTGACACATTTTACACTTCACAATTGAAATTTCAAATAGGAATTTAATATAATAGCACAGACTTAAAGATGACTGTGCAAAATAAATAAAACCTCGACTTGTATCATACACACTTTTTCTAAATATAATAAAGTCTAATTTGATCAATATTACAGGCTTCAGCTAACATCAATATTCTAAAATAGATCACAGCCCCACTACGGCATTATACACAAAGGTGATATATAAATGGAACTACCAGTATAACTAGTAGTCATCGAATCCCCTTTAATAGAACATCCGGGATATACCGAAAACAAGGAATGGTAAACATTTCTCATTGCAAGTAATAAACACCACCTCCGCACCGTAGTCGGGTTGTAAACCGCAAATGCATAAAATATCAATATAATATTCTCCAAACTATTCCGAACTATAAATAAATAACAAGATATAATATCACGCGATATACAACGTCTTAACACTACTTAAGTGTACCATTACCACAATGTCAGAAACAATGGAAAAATTTGCTAATAAATAAATATATCCATTCATCTCATAAAATGTTTACAATCACGCTGAAACTTCGTACTAATAAAAAAACTATACAAACAAACTGCTCAGATACAAAATGAATAAGAATAAATTGCATAAACAAAACATCACCTGATTTAACTAGACTGTACAAGCGTACAGGTTTTTTTTTGTTTTCGAGACGTAATTACTAACAAAATTGTAAACATTTGTGTAAGACCAGAAAATTACCGTTAAAACTTTATCGAATAAATCAACTTCAATAAATATGCAAGCATAGTTTTACGAATGGCAAATAGACTAGAAAACAGCACAGCATGATAAATTCTGTGCAGAGATTCCGCTCCTCCAGTCTCACTAGCGACATTAAATTTAATATTTAATATAAATTTTCTTTTACTTTACTTTGTATTATGATCAGTTAATAGAAGTATGTAACAAGTTTTTACAGTTAGAATATTAAACCAGTCGTTACAATATTTCAACATTTAGATACACGTATGTTTGCGGACAAACAATTTATGGGCGTTTTCTTCATACCCGATAATCTAATTTTAAAACTTGTTTATACATCTTCATATTCACACAAATCTGAATGAATATTATAATCAGACCTGAATCGGAAAAGTATGTGCATACAGATGAAGTCTGTCAAAACAATAGCAATGTTTTGGGGCAGAATAATATTCTAAAAAAATAATATGATAATATACGACGATTGTACATGAAGCACTATCCTATCACAAACACTGTCTAACCCGAGGAAGATCAAGCGTTTTAAGGAAAACTATTTTAGAAATTTACGCTCAATTAACGACGAACTCGTGACGTGGCCCCACCGCTCACGGGGGCTAACAGTCGCCTGGGTACGAGAAGACGAGCATTTCCTCTAGCAGGTCTCGAAGCTCCAGGTTGTTTTAGATCAGCTAAATGTGAAGCATAACCGTCGTTCAGAGTCGTTGCCATGTTGCTGTACTTTTTACTAATTCGTCCAATAGCATAAATTTGCTTTGGAGAAAGTCCACAGTTATGATATACAGTAATGTCTTTTCCTGACCCGTACGCCGCGTGCATAATAACACCGTGATCAGTTATCAGACTGTTCAAATGTGCTGCCTTATGTCCTAACGGATCAGTTGAAAATCCGTCAGAGAAAAATACTAAACCATGTGGGAAGTTGTGTTCAGCCAGCCATGATATTACTTTTCTTTGTTGCATGTCAGGTCTCCCGGTTATATACAAAATGAGATATCCAAGATCTTGCCAAAATCTTACGACGTCGACAGCACCAGCTCTTACTTTCGGGTCTCGGCCAGTAACTGACACACTAGCCGTGAAAGATCCATCGATACTGAATACAACACATTCGGTTTGTGGAGGTACAACAGCTAGGTGAAAATTACACATCGTGTGGTCACCTCGAACAACTACTCTTACTGGATATATCCCGCAAGCGACACTTTGCCTTTCTGGTAATGTATATGTTATCCTTCCAGTCTTGTCAGTTACTACAGTCGACAACATGGCCCATTCACCTGCTGGAGGATCTTTCATCATGTAAATGTCCACTTTCTCGCCAGTTAACGTTATCATATCTAGTGGACCGTACATAAAACGGGCAGAAAATGTTTGCGGGCATCCCTCTTTTACGATAACGTCATTAGCTCTATGGTTTGCAGCAACATTTTTCAATTTAACTGACGTTCGTTTTCTCATCCATTTTTCTCTTTCTTGTCCAGGTTTAAACATAGAACATTCTTTATCATCTGAGTGTCCGTAGAGAGCTAAATCAAAATGACCAATTTGGCGCAATATAAAAGCAATGACATCAGAACTCTCCCAATAACTGGCATGAAATAGATGAGGTAAAGCGTTTGTTGGAAAATTGGTCAATCCTTCAGGACAGTACAAAGCGTAGTCTAATCTTTTAGATCCCCACCATTTTTGCTGCAAAGCATTCATAGTGATCAATGGAATGTTATCTACCAGGCCGCTAACAGTACTTTGTACAGATGCTTCAGAAAGTCTTCTTAACACAGGAGTCGGCGGCATTTGCAAGTGATCGCCAAATAATTGAGGATGACTTTGTATCAATTCCATTAAATGGTAAGGCTGACCATTGCCTAAAGGATATTGTGTATATCTGGCAACATTTATTGGTGGTAAATTAGTGAATCTAGCTGAGAGTAGTGGTTCCAGCCTTGAAGCAACAGGATCCGTTGGATGAAACAAGTTAAATACTTGTTGTACCGGTGGCTTCATAATGTCACGAAATTTGTCGTCAGAAATTTTTCTTGACGCTAATATTAATGACAAGGGGCTACCAAAAGTGAAAAAATCGCTCACTTCAAATTCAAATTTGATGTGGTTGTCACTCGTGGAAGATGAGCGCCTCCTAGGAGTTGGAGCTTGTAAGTGAGACTTATTGAGGTATTGTGGTTCCATTGGATCATTTGGGATAGTTATTTCTGTATCTAATATGCTGTTCTCACTGTCGTGCCTAGATTGATATTGTAAAGTTCTAATAAGCGCATCATACGCTAGCACAGAACCCATACTGTCACCAACAATGCACACTTGTCCATTAAATCCTTTTCCATCATCAGATCTGAGAAATTCACTGTATGTAGTGTTTGCCGAGTTAATTGTTTTTGTAACGGACTCTGCGTAGTCTGGAGATGTGGTGGCAATTAATGGTATAGCACCAATAGGTATAAGATCGTTTGTTAATGACGGAGATTCAATAGTTGATGGTGAACAATCGAAACTATAGGGACTTAGTGTTGACAATACACCCAAGGCTTCAGTGCAAATAGATGGACATGATACCAGTTTTATGGCTATGTGTCCAATAAGCGTCGGATAATGCTGTCGCATAACTGATTCGAAAGCTCCTTTAAAAGTGGTGACATCCGATTTTTTGGCTGTCATATCTACATTAGCATCTAAGACACTTCCAGCATGAAAAACCAGTATCAAAACAGTAGTAGGACATGAACTATGAACAGGAGTCTCTGGGCAACCATCAACACTGGGATGGCTCTGAAGATTAGCCATTCTGCGCGAGCCTCTTTCAGAGGTCACACGTTTTAAGAAAGAAGGATTAAAAATACTATCTTCTTGACTGTTATCACCTTGAGTTGGTGAAATGTCAATGTCAGCTTCATCAAGAGAACACATGGAAGACCATTTATTAAATGAGGATTCACAGTCATAGAACTCATCTTCTGAACCTGTTTCTGTTTCTGATTCTCTAACAAGAGTTTCCATTCTCCAGTTAGCAGCTTGTGCTTGTAAACTTTTAATAGACCCAGATGAAGATGATCTAAGATTAGTTTTAGACGATTTGTGTTCTGATGGTGGGGTTCCTTCAGGTGTCAGATGCTTTTGAATTCTTTTTTCAGTGTTTTTCTTTGTAACCATTGGTGTCGGCACATCTTCATTCTTTTCCAAACTGCTCATTGTAGCTGCCAGAGACTTGGAATTCTCTTCAGAGAGATCTTGTTCATCACTTGTATCACCAGCCATTTTCTTTTGCAAAGCCAATTGTGTTTGGCGCTCAATCTCTCTTATATCATCCATTGTAAGGCCATACCATTCATCTTGCCATGCCCATGCTTGACGATGAGCTCTTAGCATGGTTTTCCGTAATGCAACATCATGTATAAATTTTTCTAATTTTGTTTGCATACCCCAATATCTGAATTCAACTTTACATAGTTTATAAGCACACATGAGCGACTTTCCATTTGGCAAGGGTTGAGGCTTGCCTTGTACTTCACTCCAATATTCTTCAAGCCAGTTATCAGTAAGCGGTCCTCTATTACATTTTTGTGAGTGAAATAATTTGGGATCCTCTTCTTTGATGTAGTCAGCACCATATAACTGATCTTTACAAACATCAATAACATCAACTATTCTACTTTTTAAATCACTTCCAGTTAGATTGAAGACATTTTCTTGGTGGCCATTATCAGAATAATAATAAGTTTCTATTTCTAGTGAAAATTTTTCAACAAATGGACATGTGTATCTGGTTTTTGTATAAGGATAAGCGTTCCAAGCTTCTTCGGAAACTGTTAAGGCAGATTTTGGAAGTAAACTTTTAAACCAGCCGGGTAAATGGCTACCAACATGATAAATTTTCTGAGTGTACTGACCTTTTCCGCCAGGACCATCTTCGTATGGTTCATTAACTAAAATCTCCACACCACTACCTTCACCAGAACTTTCCTCTCTGCTCTTTTTAGCAATCATATACAGCTGTGCAATCCTGTATTCCTCTACAGTGAGAGGTAGTGGTATCCGGTACTCTTTAATCAACATTTTTGTAATTTACTTCGAACATCCAATATAATGAAACATATTCTGTAACAAAGAATAAATTGATGTGTTACAAATACATACATATAGTTGGAACAGTGCCACTAAAAACATAGAAATCAAACATAAAAAAATATTCACTATGTAGGTATCTACCTATTTTGATATCTATATTAAACGCTTCAAGTTAAATTAAATCTTAGTATATAAATTGATAAAATATGCAGATTTATATGAGGAAGCAGTTTAAATAATATCTGATTCTTATACGCATATGAATAACGTCTGTGGCTAACATGTTTCTGAACACCGCGATGTTTTTATTATTAAACACTATCTAACTAGATAATAAAAACGTAATTAGAAACTAGTCAATCAATCAGTGCACGCACTCTTTATCTTTCATTTTAACAGATCACATAAATATGATATGAAAGGGATTCTAACGTTTAATACTTTTACCGTTTAATTGCACTTCAATAGCGCCAGATAGAATATGTATATCTATTTTGTTCCTGTAAAACGTTTTCGCATAATTTCCTACAAGACCGCTAAAAGGTAATACCACGGACATTTACCTCAACAGATCCAAATAGTAGGAACACTACATTACACTTCACACATCATTTTTAATTCAATAATTTCTGTTTTTCACAAAACACATCCCTCCCAAGCACGAATCTACGGATGAACTTTGACATTTTCAAGATCGTAATGTCAATATGGCCTAAGTGCCATTCCTTTTCATGTTGTACATACCGCCATCAGCATCTCACAATAGAAATAGGGGAAGCGACTGTGGCCACAGAAAAAATATCAGTTGATAACGCTTTATACGACTGCACGATATCACTGCCTATGTTAGACTATTTTACAAACAAAATGCAACATCAAATCCACTGTTCCATGAGTAAAGTAAATAAATGTACTTTGTATACAGCTAGCAAAGTTTATGTCCCTATATGCGCGATCGTAGATTGGAACGCTGTTGATTCTGCGTAGGTACGATGAAGTCATATTCATAGCCTGTCCAATTCATGACTTTAAATAAAATTAGCTATCTACTATCGCAATGCTATTGATAAAGATGATGTTTTTTTTTTTCTAAATATTCTGATTCTTATATTGAAATGATATGAAAATGCAAAATATTTGTAAATGACCTTTCTTGCTAAAAAGTACCTACTATATTATTGTACTTACTTTATTAGTCGGAAACGATTATAAATTGATTATAGGATAAAGCAAGATAGTACGGGTAAGTATTATTGTACAATATAATAATATCACATTTTATAAATCACTAATTAAGCATACCAACCATTCAAAAATGTAGGTACTTAATTTATTTTTGTCTGGATACTTTTTTTTAAGGGGGGAAAATAATCGAATGACTGCTCCCGCCTGTGTGAGGCGGGAGGGAGTGCCAGACTCTTACTGACTAAAAACCACCCCGTTCCTTCTCCTGCACGTCGAGCCGGAGCCCCGGTAACCCGTTCGGTTCTCCGCGACTTTGTTGGTATTTATTGTGATATAAAGGAAGCATATGCAAATTTCGGTAGGTAAATGAAACTCAATAGACAAAAGTGAGAAATAATTAATATCATAAGGAATATACCTATCTACTTACGAAGTTACGACGGAGCAATTTGCTCTACTATGAATACGACCCTCTTTACTAGATGGACATGAGAAAATCGATAGCAGTCGTCGCAGAATTAAAGCGTAGTCGTATTATTTATACATATTTATCTACTCGCTTAACCACTATGCTGGTTGAACTAGCTGCATTTACATATATTATCAGTACTAAGGCAGTAGGCTTGTTAATCCAGTTATTAAATTAAATACTTATGTGCACATTTGTCAGAGTCGGTTAGTACCTTCAAGTTCTAACACGTATTGGTAATCTACTCAAGTACCTAAATGTCCGAGTTAACGTCGTTTTTAAAATACACAACCCCTGTAAAATTTTTTCGACCATTACCCAAACAAAATAACTAATCAAATTCATAAATTATTTAAATACCTACCTTCGTTTCTGTACCGCATCTAGTTCGAAGAAACTGCTGCTATGCTGTTTATACTATTCGCATTAGCTATTTGATTTATTAGTTTGCAGAAAAATGTTAATTAGTCTTGATAACAAATACTAAACCCATCTAACATGCCTAAGTACTTACCTACGGTATGTTTATACCATGTACCATGTTACTACGTTTAGCAATGAATCACTGTTTGTAGGTATATGTATGATTAAAAACCTATAGCCTGACACTACGAGGTCATGGTACAAAGTATAAATTATGTTTGCATGAACAAGGTATGCTGTTCTTGTTAGTACCTACCTATATAGTTGATATTCATATATTCTTAGTTGTTATGGTATCGCAAATGTTGGACGGAAATAAATTCTTTTTATCGTTTTGCATCTGATACTGTTTTGGCTCAATGGAAGACTGTTTAGTATGGGCCGAGATGAAATATTTTGGGATTGAACCTACAAAAACAGGTAATTTCGTCCTTAAATAGGCAGGTAGGTACTTTGGGACGTTGATGGGATACGAGGGAAAACAAAATTCGACACCAAATTAACTAATAATCGTGGGTTACAAACGTGAAAATACTGAGAAAGCTCTACTTGTTTCGAGCCACAGAAGGGCTGTTCCTCATGAGCAGCGATAGTATTATCACGAGAGTAACCCGCGATTTTTAGTTAATTTAATACGTCTCACGATACTTATTATAAAAACAAAATTATTGTATGGTATAAAACATAATATTTATTGTATACATTCCCACAAAAATATTACACTAATTTTATAAATAAATAATGAAAAAGCTTGGCAAAAAATGGAATAACAAAAAATAAAAATGCAATAAACTTAACTTGAGTGTTGTGTAATGAGATTATTATCAGAAACCATAAAATTGCATATCTATGTTGCATTGCATTATATACTACGGATTGCAACACGCAAAATCCTTGTCTGAAGCCTGTTAGTAACACGTGTTTTATAACTCAAGGGTTAACTTACTTACATAATCTACTAAGAGTGCATTGCTACGACTACGACTAGGGTTGCCACCTTTTTCTTTCGTATGTAAAGTACATTGACGATTATAGATAAGAAAAAAAAGTACACAGTACAAAAATAAAGTACAATTTATTCTTATTTAGTATTATATTTAAAAATATATTTTTTATTGCTTTTTGCAGTTTGTATTAAATTAGTACCTTTACTAA